TCGTGTTCTGATGTCTTGGCAAGGTTGTCGTGTTCTGAGTGTCTTGGCAAGGTTGTCATGTTCTGAGTGTCTTGGCAAGGTTGTCATGTTCTGAGTGTCTTGGCAAGGTTGTCATGTTCTGAGTGTCTTGGCAAGGTTGTCATGTTCTGAGTGTCTTGGCAAGGTGTCGTGTTCTGAGTGTCTTGGAAAGGTTGTCCATGTTCTGAGGTCTTGGCAAGGTTGTCGTGTTTCTGAGTGTCTTGGCAAGGTTGTCGTGTTCTGAGTGTCTTGGCAAGGTTGTCGTGTTCTGAGTGTCTTGGCAAGGTTGTCGTGTTCTGAGTGTCTTGGAAAGGTTGTCATGTTCTGAGTGTCTTGGCAAGGTTGTCATGTTCTGAGTGTCTTGGCAAGGTTTGTCGTGTTTCTGAGTGTCTTGGCAAGGTTTGTCGTGTTCTGAGTGTCTTGGCAAGGTTGTCATGTTCTGAGTGTCTTGGCAAGGTTGTCATGTTCTGAGTGTCTTGGCAAGGTTGTCATGTTCTGAGTGTTTTGGCAAGGTTTCGTTTCTGATGTCTTGGCAAGGTTGTCGTGTTCTGAGTGTTCTTGGCAAGGTTGTCATGTTCTGAGTGTCTTGGCAAGGTTGTCATGTTCTGAGTGTCTTGGCAAGGTTGTCATGTTCTGAGTGTCTTGGCAAGGTTGTCATGTTCTGAGTGTCTTGGCAAGGTTGTAAATGTTCTGAGTGTCTTGGCAAGGTTGTCGTGTTCTGGGGTCTTGGCAAGGTTGTCATGTTCTGAGTGTCTTGGCAAGGTTGTCGATGTTCTGAGTGTCCTGGCAAGGTTGTCATGTTCTGAGTGTCTTGGGCAAGGTTGTCATGTTCTGAGTGTCTTGGCAAGGTTTCGTGTTGAGTGTCTTGGCAAGGTTGTCGTGTTCTGAGTGTCTTGGCAAGGTTGTCATGTTCTAAAGTGTTTTGGCAAGGTTGTCATGTTCTGAGTGTCTTGGCAAGGTTGTCAGTTCTGAGTGTCTTGGCAAGGTTTGTGGGTGTTCTGAGTGCCCTTGGAAAGGGTTGTCGTGTTCTGAGTGCCCTTGGCAAGGTTGTCGTGTTCTGAGTGTCTTGGCAAGGTTGTCGTGTTTCTGAGTGTCTTGGCAAGTTGCCCGTGTTCTGAGTGTCTTGGCAAGGTTGTCGTTTTTCTGAGTGTCTTGGAAAGGGTTGTCATGTTCTGAGGTCTTGGCAAGGTTGTCATGTTCTGATTTGTCTTGGCAAGGTTGTCATTTTTCTGAGTGTTTTGGCAAGGTTGTTCGTGTTCTGAGTGTCTTGGCAAGGTTGTCATGTCTGAGTGTCTTGGCAAGGTTGTCGTGTTCTGAGTGTCTTGGCAAGGTTGTCGTGTTCTAAAGTGTCTTGGCAAGGTTGTCATGTTCGAGTGCCCTTGGCAAGGTTTGTCATGTTCTGAGTGTCTTGGAAAGGGTTGTCGTTTTTCTGAGTGTCTTGGAAAGGGTTGTCGTGTTCTGAGTGTCTTGGCAAGGTTGTCGTGTTCTGAGTGTCTTGGCAAGGTTGTCGTGTTCTGAGTTTTCTTGGCAAGGGTTGTCGTGTTCGGGAGTGTCTTGGCAAGGTTTGTCGTGTTCTGAGTGTCTTGGCAAGGTTGTCGTGTTCTGAGTGTCTTGGCAAGGTTGCCATGTTCTGAGTGTCTTGGCAAGGTTGCCATGTTCTGAGTGTCTTGGAAAGGGTTTCCCATTTTCTGAGTGTCTTGGCAAGGTTGCCGTGTTCTGAGTGTCTTGGCAAGGTTCCCGTGTTCTGAGTGTCTTGGAAGTTGCCGTGTTCTGAGTGTCTTGGCAAGGTTGTCGTGTTCTGAGTGTCTTGGCAAGGTTGTCATGTTCTGAGTGTCTTGGCAAGGTTGCCGTGTTCTGAGTGTCTTGGCAAGGTTGCCGTGTTCTGTCTTGGCAAGGTTGCCGTGTTCTGAGTGTCTTGGCAAGGTTGCCGTGTTCTGAGTGTCTTGGCAAGGTTGCCGTGTTCTGAGTGTCTTGGCAAGGTTGCCATGTTCTGAGTGTCTTGGCAAGGTTGCCATGTTCTGAGTGTCTTTGCAAGGTTGCCATGTTCTGAGTGTCTTGGCAAGGTTGCCATGTTCTGAGTGTCTTGGCAAGGTTGCCATGTTCGAGTGTCTTGGCAAGGTTGCCATGTTCTGAGTGTCTTGGCAAGGTTGCCATTTTTCTGAGTGTCTTGGAAAGGTTGCCATGTTCTGAGCGTCTTGGCAAGGTTGCCATGTTGTGAGTGTCTTGGCAAGGTTGTCATGTTCTGATTGGGTTACAACAATAATGTTTTCAGTGTTGGATCCTGTTGAGTGCAGTATCTGTTTCTCTCAAAGGTGTTGAGCTACGTCTCTCGGGTCTTTTTTGAAGGTGTTAAGCTAGAGGTGATAGACGCATTGTGTTGAGCTCAATCGCCTGAGACCTCTTGATGGTGTTGATCTCCAGCTCCAGGGTAGTGTACCATACTTTGAATGTTTCGTGATAGTCCTTTTTTTACAAAGACTTTATTTTACAAAGTGAGTGGTGTTTATGTTAGTCTACTAACTTAGTTTGCTAACCTAGTGTTAACTTAGTGTGCTAAATTAGTGTGCTAACTTGAGAATGACTCATTTGATCAACTTGTCTTTGAACACTTATTCAGTTAAATAGTTTTTTAAATAAGGGAAGAGTTGCAAACTTTAATTTCATTGCCATGACTGGCAGATAAAAGCCCTGTACCAAGATAATATATACAAAGATCATTAATTAATAATAATTATATAATTTTGTAAAACTCTTGGGAGGCTTTTTTTTCAAAAAAATTCATACATTTCAAAAAAAAATCATACATTTTTTCATATTTTTTTTTTTTTCAAAAACTTTCATACATTGTTTTAGAAGAAACATAGTTAATTTATGAAAAATATGCCTCAGCATTTTATTTGTAAAACCTGGCACCAATAAACTTTAGTTACGATCTTCCCTTTATTTTAAGGATATATCAGTGTCGAAAGTTTGAAGTTGATCAGAAGAGGCTTTGTGAAGTTACTACATGGAAGACAAGTCTGTACATACCAATGGTTGCACGAACCATTGCTTTGCCCACAAAGAACAGCACTGAAATTTTGAAGGCTGTTGGATGAAGGGTTTCAGGTTGTATACAAAACACTCTTGGGAGGTAAATTAAAAAAAATCAAAGGCTACAACTTTAAGGTTGCCCTTCAGTGATTTCCTAAACCTTCATCAAGTTTCATGGTACGACTTCCGAGTACGGGACGAGTCGTTTTAAACAAAAATAACTTAATTATTAACTAAGTCTGCATGTAATGGACAACAACTGTGTTAATATGCTGGGTAAAAATTTGGGATTAGCAAAAATTCCATTATGTTTTATTGCTAAAATTTTCATTTTTTATAGGGCACAAAATTCTGAAAAAAATAAAAAAAAATAAGTCTACTGTGTGATTAAAGGTAAAGTAATAATGCTGCATGTAACTTCTTAACCACCACTATGTTAGGGTTAATAAGGCTGCATGTAACTTCTAACCACCACTATGTTAGGGTTAATAAGGCTGCATGTAACTTCTTAACCACCACTATGTAGGGTTAATAAGGGTGCGTGTAACTTCTTCACCACCACTATGTTAGGGTTAATAAGGCTGCGTGTTTAAATTCTTAACCACCACTATGTTAGGGTTAATAAGGCTGCATGTAACTTCTTAACCACCACTATGTGGGTTAATAAGGCTGCATGTAACTTCTTCACCACCACTATGTTAGGGTTAATAAGGCTGCATGTAACTTCTTCACCACCACTATGTTAGGGTTAATAAGGCTGCATGTAACTTCTTAAAACCACCACTATGTTAGGGTTAATAAGGCTGCATGTAACTTCTTAACAACCCCTATGTTAGGGTTAATAAGGCTGCATGTAACTTCTTAACCACCACATGTTAGGGTAATAAGGCTGCATGTAACTTCTTAACCACCACTATGTTAGGGTTTAAAAAGGGGTGCATGTAACTTCTTAACCACCACTATGTTAGGGTTAATAAGGCTGCATGTAACTTCTTAACCACCACTATGTTAGGGTTAATAAGGCGCATGTAACTTCTTAACCACCACTAAAGTTAGGGTTAATAAGGCTGCTTTTAACTTCTTCACCAACCACTATTTAGGGTTAATAAGGCCGCATGTAACTTCCTTCACCACCACCCATGTTAGGGTTAAAAAGGCTGCATGTAACTTCTTAACCACCACTATGTTAGGGTTAATAAGGCTGCATGTAACTTCCCTTTAACCACCACTATGTTTAGGGTTAATAAGGCTGCATGTAACTTCTTAACCACCACTATGTTAGGGTTAATAAGGCTGCATGTAACTTCTTAACCACCACTATGTTAGGGTTAATAAGGCTGCATGTAACCTTTTTAACCACCACTATGTTAGGGGTTAATAAGGCTGCATGTAACTTCTTAACCACCACTATGTTAGGGTTAATAAGGCTGCATGTAACTTCTTAACCACCACTATGTTAGGGTTAATAAGGCTGCATGCAACTTCTTAACCACCACAATGTTAGGGTTAATAAGGCTGCATGTAACTTCTTAACCACCACTATGTTAGGGTTAATAAGGCTGCATGCAACTTCTTAACCACCACAATGTTAGGGTTAATAAGGCTGCATGTAACTTCTTAACCACCACAATGTTAGAATATATATTCATCACTAATATATTCTCATTGCGAGTACACAATGATTTTAACTCTTCTGCGTATATCATCTGCTAGCAAGAATACTATATATTTGCACAAAGAATTAAATAACAATAAGTTCTTTGTGTATATACATAGAGACACATCTTTTGATGTATATACATAATCAATTTGTAACTTTTAAATGTAGGAATATGTATTTTAAGGACTATAAACAGAAAAATCAACACTTTTATATAATAAGAAGTTAAATCCGAATGCGTAAGTCACAAGGCGTTACAACATTGTTAAAATTAGGATAAAACACTAACCTTTAGCAAATGTTAACCCCAGCATGATGCTAAAGCCAGTGATAGCCAAGACGTCATCAATGCTGGCAGCTGCGATGACCAGTGTTGGAATACCTTGGTCCACCCCATAACCTTCTTCACTTAATCTTAATAAACTTGGCACCACCACTGCTGGTGATACTGCAGCAACAACAAACCTGCAGGACACATGTCGCTGCTAGATAATAAATCCATGAGAAGAAACCTACACAAACAAAATAATTTGAAAATATTATGTATAAGAATATCTCCCAATAATCTTCAAATATGATTCAATATAGAATTATTACAGTGGTATAGGTTGATTGTACGCGTACTGTCTGTCAGTACAGGTTGTGGTCGTGTTTGTGTCAGTACAGGTTGCGGTCATGTGTGTCAGTACAGGTTGTGGTCGTGTTGTGTGTCAGTATAGATTGTGGTCGAGTTGTGTGTCAGTACAGGTTGTGGTCGTGTTGCGTGTCAGTACATGTTGTGGTCGTGTGTGTCAGTACAGGTTGTGGTCATGTGTGTCAGTACAGGTTATGGTCGTGTTTTGTGCCAGTACAGGTTGTGGTCGTGTTTTGTGCCAGTACAGGCTGTGGTCGTGTTCTGTCAGTACAGGTTGCGGTCGTGTTCTGTGTCAGTGCAGGTTGTGGTCGTGTTGTGCGTGTGAGTACATGCTGTGGTCGTGTTCTGTGTGAGTACAGGTTGTGGTCGTGTTGTGTCAGTACAGGTTGTGGTCGTGTTGCGAGTACAGGTTGTGGTCGTGTTGTGTGTCAGTACAGGTTATGGTCGTGTTGTGTCAGTACAGTTTGTGGTCGTGGTGTGCCCGTACAGGTTATGGTCGTGTTGTGTCAGTACAGGTTGTGGTCGTGTTGTCAGTACAGGGTTTTGGTCGTGTTGTCAGTACAGGTTGTGATCGTGTTGTCAGTACAGGTTATGGTCGTGTTGTGTGTCAGTACAGGTTATGGTCGTGTTGTCAGTACAGGTTATGGTCGTGTTGTCAGTACAGGTTATGGTCGTGTTGTCAGTACAGGTTATGGTCGTGTTGTGTTCAGTACAGGTTATGGTCGTGTTGTGTGTCAGTACAGGTTACAGTCGTGTTGTGTGTCAGTACAGGTTGTGATCGTGTTGTCAGTACAGGTTATGGTCGTGTTGTGTGTCAGTACAGGTTATGGTCGTGTTGTCAGTACAGGTTATGGTCGTGTTGTCAGTACAGGTTATGGTCGTGTTGTGTGTCAGTACAGGTTATGGTCGTGTTGTGTGTCAGTACAGGTTACAGTCGTTTTGTGTGTCAGTACAGGTTGTGGTCGTGAAAACTGTTACGTAAATATTAATTTGCTTGATAAATTAGACACATGTGCAACTCTTGGGTATCTTTATTGAGGAAACGTTTCGCCACACAATGGCTTCATCAGTCCATACAAAGGAGAAGCTTGAAGAACAGGAGGAGAATGAGGTAATCAGTCCCTCAACCTTGAGTCGATGTGGTCAGTCCATCAATCTTGAATAGAATACAGCATATGAGCGGAGAAGTGGCTTATATACCGTAGGCAGGAGAGGTGCAGCAGTCGTAGGTGGTGTCACATTTGTTCTGTCAGACACTGCAACTTCTTGGTATCTTAATACTCGGGAAATCTTCGCTTGCCTAACCCTTGGGCACGACCTACTTCCACATGGACAAATGTGACACCACCTACGACTGCTGCACCCCTCCTGCCTACGGTAAAATAAGCCACTTCTCCGCCATATGCTGTATTCTATTCAAGATTGATGGACTGACCACATCGACTCAAGGTTGAGGGACTGATTACCTCATTCTCCTCCTGTTCAAGCTTCTCCTTTGTATGGACTGATGAAGCCATTGTGTGGCGAAACGTTTCCTCAATAAAGATACCCAAGAGTTGCACATGTGTCTAATTTATCAACATGTCGGTTCTCTGAACCATTGATCTACATTAATTTACTTAAACTTATAAAGTAAAGTAAACAAACAGGCCTCGAGGAAATATATTGAAATTTCTCCTAGTAGTGGGCGTGACTTGCGTCGGTAATCAGACTGCGCGAAAAAGATTGCCCATAGTATTTTCCAGATTCTTTGCTCATAAATAATTATTTTAATCAGTCCCGATGAAAAGACTCCAAAAAATTTAACTTGAGGCTTGCAGGGGAAAACCCCTGATATCGAAGAATTATGAGATTCACAAACTTCCGTTGTCATGTATATATTATAAATAAACATCAAAATGGTATACAATACCGACAGGTTGTTAGGTAAGACACACATGCATATGTGTCTTACCTAACAACCTGTCGGTATTGTATACCATTTTGATGTTCATCTTGTCAGACACTGCAACACATGGCATCTTGGTACAGAAAACACCTTGGACAAGCTTTTCAAGTGAGAAGTGTTGGATCTGAGAGGGACATGACCTCTCACTACATTCTCACTACTACTACTACTACTACTACTACTACTACTACTACTACTACTACTACTACTACTACTACTCTGCACCTCTCCTTCCGACAGTATTTAAGTCTCCGCACTGTCGCTTGATCTTCAGATAGTTCCTGACTATGGAACTGAACTTCTCCAGGCCGAGGGACTGACAACCTCAAATTCTACGACTACAAGGGTGATGGACTGATTACATCGTCTTCACATCTCTACTGTTCCTGCCTACTTTCTGTATTCGACTGAAGAAGCCTACTGTGTAGGCGAAACGTTTCGGAATAAAGTTGTCTAACTGTTGCCTATGTGTCTTACCTAACATATTATAAATAGATGAATCATTCATGTCTGTGTTTTATATGGTTGCTAAGATATGGAATTAAGATTCAGGTTTCATTATCATTTTCATTGTTAAGTATGTCTGCTATTTGTTACTGTTAAAAAAATCGATAAAATTATGATAAACAGAACGGGTGGGTATGAACAACAACTCACTCGCCCGCACCAGTTGGCAATTGTGTTATTACGATTTCGTGAGTTTTGATAATCACTATTTCCATCCCACCCAGAAGCATATTTTAGAATATTCTCTAATGCTTCAAAACAAACATTTTATAACATTTTTATTAGCTTCCAAATGAGACGAGAATGACCATCCTAAATGACATACAGCAGAGTTAAAAATGAATTGTGTGTTTATTGTTAATATATAATCCAACAGAAAAAGTCGCAGTCATAATTTTATTGGTAACTGAAATAGTCATAACTGTATCAGACGTAATTATAATAATGTACTTAAATGTTAAAGAGTTTTGCACAGATATTTGCTGAGGGCTGTGCAGGGTAGTTCCTTCATGATGCAGCTGCAAGACCCACCACGTACATAGATATCGACAACAACACTTTCCCAGTTCCTGGCACACCGCTGAATCTAGTGGGATGGTAAACTTCTGTTGATCAAGCTTTCCCTTAACTCTTTTCCAGCCATGCACACAGTGGTCTGGGTCTTCAATATTTCCAACCAAGATACTTAAATGCTGGCTTAGTAGAGATCCCATTGGGAGTGGTGACGCAGAGCATTCCGAGTCGCTGGAATCATCTGCTTCCTGTGGTGGTTCACCGACCTCGTACCTCCTCGATAAATTTGAATAATGTATTATTCAAAGGAACTGATGAGTTAATTTTCTATCTTCAGTTTATTAAACGATTGGAAGGAACCCATAGCCTCCATGACATCTTGAGGGCACGTCTGCAAGACTTTGCGACAAAGGCATTATGAGCCGCCTCAGGCCAGAAGTTGACTCAAAGTCAGTCACTGCAGCAAACAGAGGATGGGCTCTAGCGTCTTCTGCCTAAAGTTTCAGTTATGTTCTTTATGGTTATAAGGAATTAATACCTCCCAGTGTTGTAGCTGACAGAATCTTCACAGTTGGTAACAGATATGGCTTCAAAGAAAGGAATATGAAAGTAATGGTCGCATCATCAGAGTCTGAGGTCCTCGCCAAAATGTTTGAATAGCTAGTCCACAGAGAATATTATTATTATTATAATCAAAGGGGAAGCGCTAAACCCGGAGGATTATACAGCGCCTGGGGGGGGGATGTGGAAGGCATTCAGGCTTAATTTGGGGAACTGGAGCACAGATCCAATTCCCTAAATCAAGAGCCCCTCACCAACATCAAGGAACCTTCCTTGAGGGGTCCACAGAGAATAAAGAATATGCACACATCATGAGTCGTTATCTGCTTACTCTTAGCAAAAATCATGCTTTTTGCCTTGACTTGGTCTCCGGTGCTTGACTGTCGTTCCATTAGTACTGGAGGGGTATAGATCACCTGGAGAGGACTGGGTCTCGATGAGCTCTTCCCACAGTACTGAAAGAGTTCAACTTTATTTAGCAATTTTCTAGAAACTCAAAACGATTTTCAAGGTATTTTCACCATCGGGCCAATTTTTAAACGCACTCCTGTTCCTCCTAATGATCTGGTGCCGCGTTGATGGATTCTTGTCCGAATATACTTCTTAAACTACGTATGTTTGTAGTTTTTGAAAATTAAAACTCCACTTTAAGGAGCCAGTATGTGGATGAGTGCTCAGCCATGTACTAGGCAATCATACCACAGAGTTTGATTAAACGGTAAATTATTAATTTATTTCTTAAGGCATTCAATGATATACGATTCCTCTAATAATACATTACTTCACTTTTTTGCAATGGACGGAGGAAAAGCTTAAGTTTTACTGGTTTTTTTATTTTTAAAGGGAATGAGTTCTTTGTAATTGTGTATTAAAATTATTCTTTTCTTCTAGGACTAGGTGATGACATCTTTCGCAAAGTCATCGAGCTGCTCTTTTCTAGTTTTTCAAGTTTCCTGGCAGAATCATTGTTAGTAAAAAAATCCCAGCCAAATTTCCTAGGTCCCCAAATTCTACGAATGGCTTTCTCAGTCTTCGAATGACCTTATCATGGTGAAAAAAACTGATTTCTGGTCTGTGTAATCTCCGACGAAGTCCTGGAACATCTTGCTGAACAATGGTTCACAAAGGAACCATATAGCAAAAAATACTGGATCAAGTATTAATCCATTACTCCTCTAGAACTCTTCAATATTTTGTTCAGTTGCTCATGACTTTGATCTATGGCCTTTAATGTATGTTCTGGTAATTCTTTAAGAATATAAACAGAAACTCAACGAGCCAACTTACTGTGATTGGAGAAGA